GAAGAGAATATTTCTCAATTGCGGGGCCCTTGGCAAAATAACCATATATTTAAACATACAGCTGAGTTATGTGAAAGAGGTTACATAGTAACCGCTTCCGAAATGCAGAGAAAGGTGTATAACTGCACCCAACTCTTCAGGTGAGCGTTAAGTGAAATTTCTGTGTTTTTTATATCATTAATTGTTTATTATTAAAATAAAACCACGTAATCGTTTACGAGTAAGTAAAATTAGATGTTTTATTGAATAGTTAATTTCGTTAAATATATTTTTAATAATGTATAATATGTCATTAAATAATATGCTAATTAGTTACATCTTTTATATTGAAACAGAAAGAAACTGCAAAATATTGGTGTGTCCGGCAGGTCCCCATCACCTTGGAAGAATTTTGGGAAATTTGCCACTCCACAATATTACTGGGTTAATTGTAAATAATTTTGGAGGTACGTTTGTATATATATTTTTTTGAATTCATGATATGAAGTAACTTATTTTTAATTAGACCAAAAACCAGGGTCATCCACTTAAAGTTGTGTACCGTCGCCGTTATTGTCAGCGTCGTTACCATTGCGCTGCACTAGTTCTGACATCTCGGAAGGCAATACGGTGGAAACGCCTAGAAGAGAAAAGAAAAATGACGATGAAAAGATGAGACACAGATTAGATAAACTAATCAATCTGCAAGAAAGCCTTGTAGATTCATTATTTATTGTTAATACATATAATAACGAGATGATTAAAGTTCTGTAATGTTTTTACAAGAATAGCGGCGGCGATGGAGAGCGGATGAGAGTGACTGACAATTTTTTTTAATTTCTTTGTATCTTTATTCATTGCTACTGTTAATTTGTTTGCTTCTTTGATTAGAGAAGGTGGAGCTTTAATATTATTCTTTACAGCAATCGAATGGCTTGTTGGAAAAAAACTTTTACGTCGTGGAGCTTTTACAGCTAATTGACATATGGTTTCATCTATGTCCGTGACTATGCACATTGTATCATTACATTTTTCCATAAATTTAATGGCTAACAATTTTTCGAACTGATATTCTGTTTTAGTTTTTGAGTTATATATTTTATGAAGTGGCTCAAAGTATGAGTCCAGCAGTTCCAATTCTTGAGGATGCGAGTATGAGACAAAGTTTGGATATTTACGTATACTCACATTAATATTGTGACTGTCCCAAAACATGTCACGCTGATTCGTGAATGCATTGGATATATTTCGTCGTTTATACCAATTATAGGCCATGAGTTCTTCTAACTGAAATTCCATATTAGCACGTGGATATAACATGCATTTATTATATTGAGGATAAGACCTTGCATTCGGCTCTTCTTCTGTCGTGACTGGGGTACTCGAAATTTCTTGCGGCTTGTTTTTGATTGCAGCACTTAGATAGCATTTAAACGGCTCATCAATGTTTTTTTCATCATCTGTTAGCTGTATTGCTAAAAACTACTCAATAAATTCGTTGTCATTTAATTGGTCTTTATGTATATTAAAGCCAGGTTAATGAGTTTTGGTAAATGATTTGCCACGCTTCTTTTTGTCATGTGCTTTATTCCATGGTCCAGGTTCTATATTATTTTCGTGGCTTCGTACAGACTCAATTATGGAACGAATTACAGACTTATTTTCCTCAGGTGCGGTAGCGTTCTGTTCTTCGGCTATGTTAGGTAGAACGTTGGGCTGTTCATTTTTGGCATTAAAAACTTTTACGGGGGCATTAGAACGTTTTACCACCAAAGAAGAATCTGTCTGAAATATATTATATCGAATAATGTAACTAAATTTTTATATAAAAACTCACTTGAATGGTACCAGGTACATAGTTTTTAACTGCACCTGTTATTATACTTCCAACCTTTGTTTTACAGCTATATCCACGTAACTACCATACATGTTTAAAACAATAGTATAATACTAACGAATTTGATATAAAGTTTTATCATTATCCTGTCTTGGTAATAGCATTCATCGTTTTCAAAATGTGTCAGACATTTTGTTAGAACTTCTTCCAAACCTGATTCTTTACCACCTCCGAGTGCAAAGATGTTTTATTTAATTTTATCTATTTAAAAGCACAGAATAAAGCATAAATTTTCATTTATTGCACAACAATGATATATTCGCGCCGTTATTCAAAAGTTAAAATAATATTTTTGGGGTTTCAAACATGCGCGAAAATTTGTTATGAAAAAATAAATTTTAATTATTATTACACGTGTATGAATATTTATTTCAACGATTAAGTTCTACACATTTTTCATAATTTATATACCAAAGTATTCTAGAATATATATATTTTTCAAAAACATACTTTAGTAATTTTATAATAAATTAAATATTAATATTACCCTAATATACAGAATATAACAGCCACAGATTTCATTATTAAACTTTACAGTTGTGGTGAGTTTTTAACATGATGTGTTTTCACCATAGTATGTTATTAGTACGGTGTTAGTTAACATAAATTTTTTTCGTAAAATAACACTTACGGTGTGCACGAGGCACTGGTTATCGTGTTATGTGGTTATGTTCTTATGATAGAAATTGCAAATTGTTCAAGTAAAAAATTGTTCAAAAGTAAGTAAAAGTGAAATTAAATGAGTCATATACATATGACATATGAAAACGTAAAAGAGACAATATCGAATTCCTCTGAACTTACGTCAAACACAAAGAACAGCTAATTGTGTAAAAAGAACCAGATATAACTTACATAAACGCCGATTCACGCAGCACATAATCCGTTGACCAGTGTCCTGTGAACACCTTAACTTTTTTAAATATAATATATCCAAAATTAATTTTTAAAAAAGAGTTGATTTGGTCATTTTTTATATTTCCTTTAATTTAAAATTCATTTTAAATTGGTGTATATCAATCGAAAGATCTTCCCAACTCTATAAGAATAATTCCGTTTGTTTCAGTTTAAATTTTTATATTAACGAACATATCATTTTTTAAAAATTTTTCATAAATACAGCTTTGTGTTTTCCAGCAACGATGCTAACTTTGTACTGGTATAAATTTTATATATTTGACAACAACGTAGACTCGCAGTGCCATCTTGTAGTGAGCTAATCAAGTTGAATCATTTATTGCATTTGATGCTGTTTATTTAATTTTATTGCTTTAATTGTAGTGTATATTGTCAAAATTATTATGTGATGCTTAATTTGAAAAAATAAATAACATGAAGAAAAAGAATAAAAAAATATTCAATAGTCGCACTTATTCTTACTTTCGATAGTGTCGAAAAACATAAAAAAATTATAAAGTCTGACTGAAAGGACCATTATTTCAATGATATTGTGATTCATTCAGATGTACTCCCAAGATACGTTAAAGATAGATATGTTTGAGGAAAGCAAAACATAAAATGCTTCTCGCCAGGGCTCTCCAGACCAAATGAGATCGCGGGCTAATTCAAATCAAATACGGCTATATTGATAAATTTAGTTTTATTAATTCTTCATTAGTTTATCTTTTATAACTCCATCAATATCTACATTACTAATATAAGTTGCTGTCGCGAACTAAATATATTTTATTTTTAATGTAATGTTAAAATAATGTAAAAAAAAATATATACTAATAGTACGTTTCCACTACGTCCTTAGTAAGTTTCATTTACTGAGTAAATTGCATTAACCATACAAAAAGAGATTCCGTGCTTTTTCATTTACTATAAAATATAGTAAACAAAATTCGATCAAAGTTATACCAAATATCACAAATGCAACATTAGAAATGATCGCTATTTGACACATGAAATTAAATGTAAATATAAACAAACAATCAAAATTCAAGATTTATTTATAAACATTTATTTTTTTAAAAATAATATATATAATTAATACATAAAAATATGAAAATAAGTTTATTTATCAAATGTATATTTGATATAATTATAAAATTTCATATATTATTTAATAATAAATATTTATTTATAATTATATAAAATTTAATTATATGAAAAATATATAAGTATATATTTTTGGTTATTTTTATTTTTAATTTATAAGTTGTAAGTGTTATTATTAGCTATTAGTGAAAATAAAGCTTACTGAAGATTTGAACTAAACATTGCCTTATTTCTTTTTTATTTAGCTTGTGATTATTTAGTGTTTAAACTTGTTTTGAAACCCTTTGTTGTCTTCTCAGAACCGACATACGGATTTCATTCTTATCTAAAATAGCAACTCACTAAAATTTTATTCTTTATTTAATAATATATACTGCCCGTACTTACCAAAGTCCAGCACTTCTATTTTTTTTCTAGTAATCATTGAAGAAAGCACTATCATTTGTTGATTTTGAATTATTTGTAATTATTTAAAAACAACATTACAAACATTATATATATTAAATTATTTAAATTTGCTGCGTTTTCTTCCATGCTGATATATTTTCTTCTAACAATACAACATATAATATCATTTGTTTACAATTCAAATGTAAACACGGAAAAGCTCTAAAACTATAACTTTTTGATACATAAAAGCTCTTCCCCATTCCTTAAGTAACTCATGATAATGTAAACGCAGAAAGCTCTATGTTATTATATGACTTACTAAGTACGTAGTGGAAACGTAGTATAAAGTCCTAATGAATTAAGTAAATTAATGTGAAGTGTAATAAGTTATTGAAAACATTTTATTTTATTTATTTGGTGTACCATGAATTAAAATAATGTAATTTTACCAAAGTACACCACAAGAAAATTTCCGTAGTTATGGTAGATTAGAAACATGTCGCGAGTCGTACAAATATAACCTATTTCATATTATCTTTCGTTGGATATTAGGAATATTCTCAGGGGAATATTTTATGTATTTTAGTAACATTAGACATTAATTTAACAATCAATTATTTGTGAGTGGGGTTATATAGTATGTCTATATAAAAATTTTTTTTCTGTAGATGTGAAAATAAAGACAAGATGATAATAATTATAAATCTTGTGTTACAGCTAAAAATATTTAATACTTTCCTATGTACCTATTGGTACATTCATGAATGAACGCAGCCTGTAAGTGAAAACAGGTTATTGCTTGTTGTTAAAAAACTGAACTTTTGACAAAATTTGTAATCTGGCATCGCCGAGCAAAAAATTATTTGTTTTTGTCAAAAGTTAGTTTGTTTTCATTAAATGTGTTAAATATTGAAATTTGTAATATGAAGAAAATAACGTATTACGAAAATATACTTGAGTTTAAAGAGAATACGAATACCGCTCTACTTTTAAGCGACGTAAAAAACTGGAAGTTTTGTCGGATTTGCTTGGAAGATAATACTCCACTTGATACCGAATTGAAAAGTGGTTGCGTTGTTGTTGATGGTGAATTTGTGTCTATAAACGAAATGCTTTTGAAAATTACAGGAAAAATGGTAAAGTTTTATTTTAATTAATATCAAGACACTTATAATTCTAATTAAAAATTACCTTTTATAAAATGCAACTCATTAGTTTTTAGTATTCAAATTCTAAAACAGAAATCAAAACCAAAATTCCAAATTGACCTCAAAGTAATGTGATTATTCTGCGGAAGGATGGAGTATTAATCTGATATATAAAATCTTTTATTAAAAAAGCAATGATCGCAAGTTATTAAAGCCAACTTTAATAAAACTGTAATTTTAAAAGGCGATATTACACATGCTTCTTCGACAAGATGAAAGAAACAAGTCTGATTGCAAAGCCATACTAATATTGTTTTTGAAACTAAGATACACATGGAGAGTGTTTAACATCTCAACTGAATTCCGATTCATTTAGAAATAAATATGCCAATAGTTTCTCACACTAGTTATTGGAACCAAGATAAATTCAAAAATTGTTTAACACTTAGATAAAATATATTTATATTTGTTTCAATATGTGTAATATTTTTAACATGAATTTTACAGCAGATATTTTTATTTTTTATTTTATTTTTAAAAAATAGTTGATTAATAGTTAAATAATTACATTTACATCACATTTTCAGATATAAATTTATACCAAGTATTAAATTAAACTAAATATTAAAGTATTAAACTAAATATTAAATTTAAAATATGTTTGAAATATTATGCTAGTTTTCATTAAACCTAGATCTTATTTAAATCTAGTTGATATCAAGTTTTCTAAAAGACTGTAGTTACGTAGATGTAGAAATTTTTAGATTCATTTTAATGTATACCTACACAGTGTATGGAAACTACAGTAGATGAAAGACATAGTTCCTAAAATATTTTTTATTTCATTGCAAATATAATTGATTACGACAAACAATCAATTTACGACAGTGTTTCATTTTTATCACGCGTTCTCACATAAAAACAATTTGTTTGACGATTCTTTGTCATCAAAACTACTATATAGAAATCTGTAGCATTGCCAATGTAATAGTTTGATTAACGAGTTTTGATCGCCTATAATGCTATTATATATCTGTTCATCTTACATATCTGTCTCTTAAAATTAACCGCTTATATTAAATCTGTGTTATTTGCGTTGGTCAGAAATAATTTTCACAAGTTTTTAATAACCGTCTATCACATGCGCGCAAAACAAACATTCCCTCAACGCAAGACTTAAGATGATAAAGCTTGTATGAAATGAGCAAAGTTCTTACAATTTTTTAAGTTATTTTAATTGAGTTTGTGCTTATTTGCTGCTTTTAAAACTATAGGTCTACATTCGAATAGGACAATTTTAGAAGTAATCTCATAAAGGAATTTACATCAATTACACATAATTGTGAAAACTGAGTTGAAAGGCAAGAATAAAGAAATAAAGACCATAAATCCATATGCTATCTCGGAGATGACATATATTTTTGGTAGTATTTAATGATCACCAACTCAATTAAAGAAGCTTTAAAGTACTAAACCATAAGAACTTTTCTTCATTTAAATATTATCATATTATCATATCATATTATTATTGTTAATATTGTTACGAATTTGCATTTTATAATTCAGTCTACTCTCGTTTGTATCTCTTAACAAATTCCAAAAATAACCGCTTCAGTTTACTTGTTAACTACTCCGCACACTTTACTATGCATCCACGCTGTTATCGCATAGACAAAATAACTGAAACTGAAATTCATACTCAAAAACTCCGAACATAAATTCCATAACTAAACTTTTACTAAAAGAAATATATGACATTAGTTTTCTTATTCTTTTAGTTTTGCCGTGCTGCTATGGTTTGATATTCCTCAAAACAAATTCGTCACAGTATTATAGTTATTATTATTAATTGAAAGAATTTTGGTTATATATCGTTCTAATAAATATTAATATTTTTTTTATGCTTAATAGATCAAACTGGAACTAGAAAAGCCATCAAAAATTTGTAAAAATTGTGTTAATAAAGTGTTTTCATTATACAATTTTAAATTACAAATGAATCGAGCAAATAATGTGCTGCAAAAAATGATTGAAGCAGTAGAAAAAGAAGACCAAGTTCATATTCAATTAATTGATGTAATACCAGGTGAAATAGTAGAAACGGAGTGCACAAGTACAAACGATCAGCACAACCTTGACTACGATGATATTAATTCAGAATCTTCAAGTCATGTGTCTAGTCCAACACGAGATTCAAAGGAAAAAGAAATAATAAATAATGTGATTGAATCTGAAATAATTAATTCAAATAGTTTGAATGAAATTATAGTAGATGATTCAGATACTCATATGGAGACAACGTATTATTATGAAGAATTAAGTGAAGATGCGCCTTCTTATTCCGGTGCAGATGTTACTGATGAGAAAAATATCAAATTAGAACATGCAAACGAATTTATTATTGAAGTATGCAATGATAACATGTCAAGCGGAAGTTTGCAAAAAGATGTAGATGATGTGGATATAAACGATATAAAAAATAAAATAAATAGTCAAAACACATTTACGGAAAAAAAGGAAAAATCAACAAAAGTCTTATCTAACCTGGATTGCCAGTTATGTGGTCAGGTAAGATATATGTGTAAAATCATTAATTCCCTACAAAACTTATTGTGATATTTATTTTTTAAATAGGTATTCATTACACAAAAAAATTTAATAATTCACGCGCAAAATGAACACCCAAATGAAAAGGCATTCGCGTGTCGGGAATGTGGTGCCAAATTTGCTCATTTGCAGTCCCTGTGCCGTCACATGAACCAACATAAACCCGAGAGCCTAAAATTTCCATGCGAATATTGCGATAGAACGTTCCTACGATCCGACGATTTGAAGCGTCATAGTCGCATTCATACTGGGGATAGGCCATACGTATGTGAAACTTGTGACAAAGCTTTCAAGCAACATAGTGAACTAAACGATCATAAAACAACACATATGAAAGAAAAGTTTTATAAATGCGATTTATGCAATAATCGTTTTGGTTCTAGAAATGGACTCTACATACATAAAAAAGCACACGAGGGAAGAAAGGACTTTTCTTGTGCGTTTTGTGAAAAGCAATTCCTAACAAATGGAGAACTTAAATCTCATTTAAATGTTCACTATAAAAAAAATAAAATTGAAGACACCAAATAGCCATAGAAATAATTAAATCAGTTTACTTTATTTAGTTTTAATTGTATTTTATGATAACATGATATATTAAAAAATGACTTATAAAAAATAATTTAATAAAGTACTTCTTAAATTAAGAATGTTAAATATTCATAGCATGTTGACTAGTTGTAACGAACTGCAAAAATGTAATTATAAATAATACATTATATATTTTAAATATTAATAAAAATCTATTTACAAATGTAAAATGTATTATGTGTAAAAAATAGAAATCCTATTTTTACTTTTTATAACTTTTATAAGATGTGCATCATAACTAGTAGCATTACGAACATAACTGACGCCCTGGGCATTACAGCTGTTTGACGGCCTTCGAAACACATATTAATATAATATATGCAATTTATTTAACTGAGAACCAGTTTGCATGATATATTTAATTTTCCATCCTTACGCCACTGATCATAACTTATCTGCAGGCAGAAGTTGGTTGCTCTGTATTCCACTAGTGCCATTTTGTAATTATTATGGCAGACTATGGGCTTATTTTCAATGGACCAATTAGTTCTTTATCAAAAAAAGTTTATCAAAATCGCTATAGATCTTAAGCCACTCAACGCACAGTAGTATGGGTACGTATGGACCCATAAAACTATTTTTAAGTAAACATATGGAATTGTAGAATAAAGAATCCGTATAATAACAGTCCTTAGTTTTTTGATGTAATTAACTCCCATTAAGGTTTATTAAAGTATCGCAGGGTAACAGATTCCTATCTCTGGTCGAGTACCGCAAGTGAAACTCACTTTGTACCATTTATATTCCACATTTTTAGTCGGAAGTAAATTGCGTTGCTGAGAATTTCAAGATTCAAAACTGCTGAGTTATATCTTTGAATATTGTAATTTTTAAGGAAGATGTATTTTAAATTCTTACATATTGACTGTGACTTTCTTTGAAAACTCCAATATTTTATATATGTATGGAGGAATAACCTGTGATGTAGGACATTTCTCTGAAGGCTTACAGCAAGTACTCCATATCGTTAGTTTCTCCAAATAAATCGAAATATCGGTCCATACGACTTACAATCTGTGACACTCGATTCTAACAGTGGAATTATTCTACTAGTGTTGAATATCTTCGATATGATATGAGATGTGAACTGAATAATACATTTAATATGTATGTATAGAAATATTAATAGCTCGAGAACTCTTGACAGCCAGGTTTAACTATACGCTATGAAAGCGATTTTTATATTCGGTGTATATATTTTGTGGGACCTCGGGGCACCGCATCGTTCATAAGTGAGTCATCACCAACCCAATGATGTCCCAAGACAGTCATCCTCCTGCTTGCCAGTGCTGGATATTGGCACAATATAAGCATCGCTGGCTCCTTTTCTTTTAGATAGAGTCTCCAAATATCTTCTTCAACGAGAGTTATCTTTCTAAGGTAATACTTGAAGTTTCCATGACCAGTAATGAATGGTGGTGGGTGTAAATGTGCCACATCGGAAAACTTAAAACAAATCAGTTCGATACGGTCACTGCAGAAAAGTTCAATGATAATAAATACCAAGTGAAAGCTTTTCTAAAAGAAATTTACTGCGAAAGCATTAGCAACTTGCAACCTATTAAAGCACATGGACAAAATATGTACTTAATGCTATAATAAAAATAGAAAGTTACTTTTTTTTTTAGGATGCCAAGATTTACGATAAACGATTGCAGGAAGAATAAATGGTGAGCGAGTTTAAGCTAGATACAAATATAGCTTAAACAAATAAAATTTGAGGTAACTGATCTTGTATTAGTCGAAAACGAACCGTATAACACGAGTGTATCGAGGAAATTAGAATCGCATTATGGGGGACCTATCATTAATTGAAAGGATCTCGATAATGATTGATATCTTGTTAAAGATCTACCGAATTACAAACGAAATCAACGATCGTATCGACGTCACTTGTATGACAAACTTTATTTTTGGTTCCAGTTATTCCATAGTAAAAATAGCAGTAAAGCGGAAAACGAGGAGGAAGATTACGTTTGAAGAGACTCTTAAAGCAGGGGTTCGCTTTGTAAGTGTAGAAGAAACAATATATAGTGGAGTAGTATTTTTCTTTCAAAACAAGTTCTAAAACAATATAATATTTCAATCTTAAATCTAGTCTTACAGTTAATTTCTGCTATGAATAAATAAATTACAAAATATTTACACATTAAAATATTGTTAATTATTGATCTAAAGACATGACCCAAATGCCGTCTACTAATAAAAATAGTATTTTAATTATTATATTTTCAATTTTATTTAAAACTAAAAACTTCATTTATTATTCTTTGCCTGTAACTAATTGCGTCTCTTACAAAGTCAGAGAGTGCGACCCATTTGTCCTCGTTTAATGCATCTATTATTTTTTCTTCTGTAAGTGTGTTTCCCATAGTATTTTAGCGCATTTCTTTCAGAATTGGACATAACCCAATAAAGTGTATTGTCCTCAGACTGGTCTAGATTACACAATGAGCAATGGTAAATTTATCCGTAAAAAAATTCCGGATGCGTGGGAAACAATATATTTAAAAGCAAATGCTCCTGAAACTGTCTTGATTTCATTTGTAGGCTCCTGATATAGTTTTTAGTGAAGTTATATTCACTGATATAACTCTATATATTATTTGGAGTGTATTAATATTGATAGAGTATTAAACTTAACTACGATTCAGAAACATCGAAATATTCACAAATCATTCAATTTTGATAATATTTAAAACTTATTTGAATTTTTTTAAGATTAATTTTTATTCGTATCTTTATTGGAACTTTATATGTATTAAGCAAATTTATTCGAAGCTGAAACATATATAAATAGTTTTTTATCATTGGATCACAATTCATGATCAGTTAAGCAAACCGACTAGAAGCAAAGATAAATACAGTCAAACTTTCATAACTCGAACTTCTACAACTCGAATTTTCTACAACTTGAACTATAAAAAGTGCAACAGTGTTTTAGAGAGCAAATTTCATAAAATTCTACTTCCATTACTCGAATTTCTATAAATCAAATTTGTCTATAACTCGAATACAAATATTGTCACGTGTCATTAGGAATATGGGAAAGTGCATTCTCTAAGTCGAATTCTTGTTTTAAGTATGAATCCATTTTGTTGTTAGGGAAAATCCCTTTTTCCAAATCAAATGTTTAATTTTTTTTTTCTCACGTTGCTTCTTTATGCCAATACTAGTCGCTGGCAGCGTGGTTTAAAGTAAATAAAATAACTTCCAATGCTACTCTTAACGATTATATTGAGCTTGATAATGGAATTTGTACATCAAGCTTTCCTATAGATGACGAAATTATTGAGCATTATAGCTTTGAATTAGTGGATCCGATTCTAAGCACAACGGAAAGTAATAATGAGGGTTCGGTGGATGGAAATTGTTCATTAGCTTTTCAAGAATGCAGTAGAAGACTCATTCAAAACTCTAAATTATTATTTACAAACGAATGATACTCCAATTGATGATCACTATAAGGCTTGGAATAAATTTTAATCTCTATTTGCTGAAAATAAGAAAAATAAAATAAAATCCCATACCCTAATTTCTGAATATTTCACTTCACTATAACTTTTGTGCTATATTTAATTTCAAATAATTAAATAAATATCTTAAAAATAAAAAAAGAATAAACAAAATCTATAACTCGAACTCTCCATAACTTGAACCTTTTCTTTGTTAAATGGTATTTCGAGTTATGGGAGTTTGACTGTATAAATAAAATCTGCCTGTTCGGTCCCTAATTGTGGTGCATTTTCAATGAAATTAGATATGAAGCAGTTGTAGACCAATCGACCAATCTGCACATCATTATGTCTTCAGGAAGGAAGTCATACTTAATATTTTATTAATAAATTATATTATACAAATAATTTTTACCTAATATATCTTATATATAAAAATGAATCGAAAAATGTGTTGGTAAGCGCATAACTCAACAACGCCTGGACCAATTTGGTCAATTATTTTTTTTAAATGTTGGTCCAGGCGTTGTTGAGGTATGCGCTTATCAACACATTTTTCGATTCATTTTTACATATAAAAAGACAAGAACATAACTAGAATAGATGAGTTTGTGTGTTGTAATAAGTTGTTGATTATTGTAGGTATGTTTATTAAATCCCCATGACTTCCTTTGCAGATCGTTATCTCCACTATCCAAGCGAGCTACCCACTTTTTACATATTTGTCCCCTTTAGGTTTCCACTGTCTCTTTAGATTATTTTCCAATCAGGTTTAAACCGTAAGTTCGCTTCTTAATTTGAAACCCACTGCCAGACATCTCAGTCGGGGTTTTTTAGTGGATCCCAAAAGGGTGGCCAAAGTTCTTGGAAGAGAAGATACTTTGGTCACCCAAACTGAACCCCACACACCAAGGTGACTGTTCTGTTCAAGAGATTTTTTTGCCCCGACTATAAAATAGGTAGGAACAAAAAACTGCCATATTCCAAATCTTTTTGACAGAACGAAGTCTGTCGGGTCCGCTAGTTTGAAATAAAAATAGAATAGAGTTTAGAAAATAAAATAATTACAATAATATGTATTCGTATAAGTTTCAAAAATTATTATATTACATTTGTCTGAATAGTTTGAATATTTTGAATAAAACTTCTAGTTTTTACTTTTACATTATAAAAATTATTCGTTGATTTGTATTTTTTAAAAAATCATATTATTTTCATGTTGTCTTTCAAAAAAACTTAAGTAAAAAATAACGCAAATTTGGGAAGTTCAACAATAAATTTTCGAAAAATATTTTTATTAATGTTTATTTTTTATTAAATATCAAATAAAAAATTATAATATAAATTATAATTATTTTATTATAAACTTTTCTTTATAATAGGTATATTTAGGTGAGTTTGTATTTTGAATTAAAAATTTTAAAAAGCGACGAGAGAAAAGAGGCAGGGAGCTGGCTGGCTTCACACAGTGCAAATAATTTCTCTTTAAATCGGCATCTC